GCTCATCTGAGGCCACGAACTGATCGTTCCCGCTGGGAGCGACCTTAGCCACCGTTTGGCATGAGAGGTCAGAGTCACAGCCAGGCAACAACATTTTGCAAGATCCGAAACTTGGTGGAGCTCCATCAGGTCATTGAACTCATACAAATGATCCTACGGGTCATGGTTTCCATCGAACGGCCGCATGTTGGGCATTCTGAAACCTGGTGGGAATGGAGCAGCTAACACTTCGGGAGAGAAGGGGGATGCTGAGGCGACCTAGGCCTACTCGCTCTACTGCTCTCTCAACCTGTCCAGAGCTCGCTGCAACTCCTCAATTTGCGGTAACGGAGCCAGTTGGGGATTGCTTTCCCCCACGCGAGTCTGGCCCTTGCGATTACGGTTCAGGAGAGTCCGGAGGTCGGACTCCTCTTTGCCCCGGCCGCTCTCGACACACGCTGGCTGGAGGCGTGTGAAGGTGATGGATGGTACGGGGTATTTTCACGACCCTCGCGGTAGTACAAACCGCCCCGCGAGGTGTAAGGAACGTCCTCACGATAGCGATCAGGATCATTCTGCTGGCGGTGATGAGAATCGCCCCGTCCAGTACTTTTGTTCGGGTTCACCTGCGACGTGGCATGGGACAGCTCGGGATTTATCTTTTCACCGAGTCTCAGTTTTTCCGGCACCCTGCTCGGGGCACGATTTGTGTTCGCTAGCCCTTTAGAGCCTGTATGCTTGCTTTTTGCCACTTGCTTACCCTTACGTCTACACGCTGCAGTGCTTGCAGCACGAGCTATTTTCCTTTGCCGTGCTTTCGCGCCACCTGCAGGCGTTTTTGGCGGTTGCACCGCCCCAACTGTTCTAGAGGGCACGCCCTGGTCCAGACGATCCAACCTTTGGTTGACCGTCTGGAGAGTATTGTCGAACCTCTCTAGGTAACCTTTGATGGCGGGGTCAAGCTGCGAAGTTGCTGGGATATCCACCGCAGCAATTTGCGAGGATGGAAGTGTTCTGGAAGGGGTATCCCCTTAGGTCTTGGGAACTCCCTCAACGCGCTGGTCAGCTTGTTCAGGTTTAGATTTGCGGGCCATCTGCTGCTGTAGGACCAGTAGGTTAGAGATTCTCCTGATGAAGGATGAACACTAAATCTGGGCCCTCCTTCTAATGCCAAACTGTTGATGCGTGATTTTAGACACCAACTAATTGACACGTGCGCAACGTTGATTGATCAAGAGACACGTGATTGTGAGTAAAAAGTGAAATAAATGCAATGAGAGCCTTTTAAAGTGGTTCGGATGCTAAGGTAGCAAGTCCTACGTCCACTGATTTGTATTAATAAAGTGGGTCAGGTCGCAAAAGCGGACTGACTTACAAATGATTGGCAAGAAAAGTAAATACAAAGTTAACACACACAGAGAGAGAGCTAATTTCAAGTGTAAAATAGCCGAATCCCCTTAACAAAGGGGTCTTCCTCTTTTTATAGTGAGGTGAGTGCAAGTAATCATCAGTAAATCCATGGGTTAGTGTGAATGTCAGGAGTAAATCCGGCTTTATGTCACATTTCCCACCTTCCAATCTAATTTTACGCGATTTGGAGCAGAGAAAAGGACACGTGGGAGCTCCATAGCTATTGGCAGGCCTGACGTGGGTTTACCGTTCTGACAGGAGCAGGTCACCCTCCCCATCACGTGATTTCCCACGTCAGCCCTTTATTTTCCAATGGTAACAAGTTATAATTGGTTTTCTGTTTTATTGTACGTTAGTCTTTAGTTTATATTTTTAATATTCAACCATTTAATTTCGATTCTTCAATTAGGATTTAAACTAGTAATTTCAGTAGTTAATAGCTAATTTTCCTCGCGGGAACAATACTTTACTTTTCACTGTATTACTTGAACGATTTAGTATACTTATTAAGTTCTTATGCATCAAGTTTTTGATGTCGTTGCTGAAGATTGTTTTATTTTTAATATTGATACCATCTAGTTGAAATACTAAATTGAAGCTTTTTCTATTTTTTTTTTTTTTAATTAAGTGCAGCTTTTATTTGGATTTGATTTGGATTTTCCTTGTGGTGCATGCAGAGATCGAGGAGTCTTGATCTAGTTCCTATTGACCTAGACACCTAGAGGACTTTGAGATGCATTAACAAGGAAAAAAAGGCAAGCAAAAGAGAATCAAAGCATAAACATGGCCGAAGGAAATAGAGCGTTAAGAGAGCATGTTGTACCAACACTTAAAGGATGCAATTCTAGCATTACGCAGCCACCCATTCAAGCGAACAATTTTAAGATTAAGCCAGCTATCATCCAAGTTATTCAACAATCAGTCCAATTTGGTGGAAATTCATGTGAGGATCCGAATTTGCATATAGCTAGTTTTCTAGAGATATGTAACACATTCAAGGCAAACAAAGTTACCGATGATGCTTTTTGCATTCTCTTTAAGTGACAAGGCTATGATTGTTTTGTGGATTAAAAATGGATGAAATGAAAGTATTATGAATGGAAATCAATGGAATGAAAATATCATGAATGAATAGAATGAGATTACTTCATTTGCTTGTAATAAGGAAGTTGATGGAATAGAAAACAAGTTGTTTCTTTTGGACGAAAATGCCCTTAATTTATTTTATTAATAACCATAATTTTTATTTAAATAAGAAATTTCAAAATTCAAAAAAATTTAAAATTAATTAATTTTTTTTTTTAATTTTAAAAACTTCAAACCGGTCAAACTAGCCGACCGGTGAATTCGCCCCACATTCCATCTTTACTGTCGGACGTGTGAAGAATCAAAAGCCGTCAACCCATTGATCTGGACGAGTCTCGACTGCCGAAAATCGCTAGTGTGACGTTAGGTGCGATGGCATTCTATCACGACCACTGTGCTAACGTCATGATGCCAATTTCCAACGGCCAGGATCTATCTAGATCATCGACTACTAATTGCTCACACATCGATAGTGATGGTGACACCAGTTATGTGATGGAAATTCGTTGTCTAGTGAATTTGACCCACGTTGACTAGTTTAAAGATTTTTCAATTTTTAGAACTTTAAAAAAAAAAATTAAAATTTCTTGAAATTTTTAAATATTTAATTTAATTTAAATAGATTGATTTAGAGGTAAAATGAGAAATCACAATTTAAAGTATGGGTAAATTAGGCACTTTAGCCATCCATTACAATAGTAATGGATGGCATTCCTCCCAAATTTGGCAAGGATCTAACTCCATTATTTTTTAAGGAATAATATTACTATTCCATATGCAAGTCCAATGTTTTGAAACTCGGACTAGAAAGTGACTTGATCAAGTGGCCGGTTTTCAGTCTGAGCGGTCCAACTAGTCTAACCAACGGGTCAACCTGTGATGTAATATATATACGTCAATATGTCACCTCATCTTCTCTTTTCTTCTTCTCACCCGTAAACTCATCTTCTCTCCTTCATCTTTTTTTTTCTCCTCTCTTTCTCACTGTCTCTTCTCTTTCTTCTTTACTTCTTCCATGTTCTGTTATCTTTTCTCACCTCCTCTTCTCTTTCTTCTTCTGCATCTTCTGCATCTTCTTCTTCATCTTATTTTTTTTCTCTCTTTCTCTCTGTCCTCTTCTCTTTCTTCTTTTGCTTTTTCAAATCTTCTCCTTCATCTTTTTTTTTCTTTCACTTTCTAAGCTCGAATCTAACCGAAGATGAATGAAGGTGGAAGAGAAGATGAATGAAGTTGGATTGGAAGTCGGAGAAAGACGAAGAAACAAATGAAGATTAAAGAAACGAAGGCTGAAGCAAAACAGGCAGGGATTTTGCTTTTAAAATAGTCACATTTGTTGGACCGGATTTTCATCTGATCCGATTAGACCGACGGTCTGACACTATTCCGCCGCTCCAATAGCGGTCAGAAACGGTTTAAATAAAAATACCGAGTTTTAATTCTTAATGAACTGGAATCATTGACGAAGATCGGTCAGACCTGTTGGACCGGCCAGTCCGATCCGGGTTTTAGAACTAAACAACGAATAAAGAATAAGATTTTTATTCCTTTGTCAATTCACTCCAAGCAAAAATGACTCAATAAAGCTTTTATTTTATAAGTCTAAATGAATAAGCTGTACCAAATGGACCCTAAAGTCCTAGGGTGCGTTTGTTTTAGTATTTTGGATAGTATTTTTGAAAAAGTAAGTGTTGGGTGGTAATAACGAGGTAGGATTTAAAAATTAACAAAAGCACCCCCTAGGTTTGTTAATTTACTAAACACTCCTGTAATAAAAACATTGAAAATTATAATAACACCCACACCCACCCATTAAATACCGGCAATCGGCCACCACCGCCAGTGGGTGGTCTAGTCCCCGAATCAGTGCACGACCGGTTATATTTGACCGGTCGTGCATCGAGATGGCCTAGAAAATGTCAGATCTACTACTAGATCTAACCATTGACGGCCAGATCTGGCCGCATTTGGTCGTCAATGACAGCCAAAGATATGACCAAATCTTTGGCCATAGATGGCCTTTTTCGGCCAGGTACACGGTGGATCTTGTCGAAAAAGACTATATCAATACACTATAGGCCAGATCCAATCGGTAGTGTACTATTATACCAGATTCCGGCCACCTTCTGGCGGTTGTGGCTGGAATCTGGCAAACGTGGGTGGATGGGGGTGTTTTTGTTAATTTTTAAACTTTTTTTGGGGCATGTTTAGTTAAATTAACAAAATTAGGAGGTTTAAAAATAATTGAATAAAATATAATAATATTTTCAAAATAGGAAAATAAATATGTATTTTGGAAATGATAAGATTAGGATAGGGAAACAAAGCACCCGTTGTCTTTTATCAATTTGTAATTTTGCTACTCCAAAGCGGCAAAGGTTGGTGATAATTCCCAAACTACAATGAGTGTTTTAAATGCACGAAAAGGCGGGGAGATTACCAAAATAACCCTAACAGATTATAACTTTATAGTTTATAACACTAAAGTGGGAACTGGGAATGAATATTCGGGAAAGTCGTTAAGGCGGCGTCGTGAAGTGAGGCTGACTGGAAGTGGTAACTGGTTAAAGTCTTCAGGAGATAACTACAAACACGAGAGCTGCTCTATAAATAAATAAATTGTTTTTCAACTCCAAAATATCGATGGAGTTGGATGAAAAAGACACTAGACACTCGTTTCCCAGCTGTAAGTTACTCATTACTTTCTTCTTCTTTTATTTGTTTAAGCTTGGCATCTCTGTTCATATCATATACTAATAATACTGTTCTATTCTTTTTTTTTTTTTAATTTTTTGTTTCTTTTTCTTTTTTAGCATTTATTCATATGAATTATATCTATCGTGTTTTAGGCTCGAATAAAGAAGATTATGCAAGCTGATAAGGATATTGGGAAGATGGCTTTGGATGTGCCTCCACTTGTATGTAAGTTATTTCCCCAGTTTTTAGTCATAAATTATGTAAGTTATAGAACATACAGTATTGATGTTTTGTTATTAGTAGTGATGGTTGATACTTTTAATGAATATAATGTGCAGCTAAAGCATTGGAACTGTTTCTGCAAGATCTCTGTGACCAGACATATGGTATTACTTTGAAGAGGGCAGCAAAGACCATGAATTCTTTGCATTTGTAAGTTCATAATTTTTCTTTTCATATGTTATTTTATATGATGATTTTAACAAATTCTGTTGGGGTATATGCTATAGTCGTATTCTTGTAGACAATTGTGGATTTTTCGTCCTTACTGACTTGTTTGGTCTCCTCCAATTCTAAAATTTCTATAAGATATTGCCTCCAAATCTCATGTAAAAGTCCATGTCTTTCAAATACAAGATCAAGGGTTTAACTGCCCTTGAGGCCAGAGACTTGGGATATTATATAGCAGAAATTTCATGGCTATCAAGTTTGTAGAGTCGAAAGTAGCTCCCAGTTTAAAGCTTGATGAAAAAGATTGGAAGCAAGTTTGCATTCATTCATCTGAAGATGGAGTTTCTTAGATTTCGGAAGAAGGATTTTTATTTTTCGATTTTTTTTCCCCCTACATTTATATTGACTAATTTAATTTTTTGATCTGCAGAAAGCAGTGTGTAGAGACATTCAATGTTTTTGACTTTCTGAGAGAAATAGTTAGCAAGGTTCCTGATTTGGGTGGCTCTGATACCGCTGGTGATGAGCGTTCTGTTGCCAAAAGAAGGTTTGGGAGTGTGATAGTACATCTTCTTGTTAGTAGACAAAATATCCGGGCGTGTTTGATGACTAACAATATTTTAATCCCTTTATAGGAAAGTTGATGGCGAAGACACAGATGATGATGAGGCCAAAAGAAGCAGAATGGTTAGTTATTCTTTTCTTGTTTGGATCTTTCGTTAAAATAATAAACTCATAGCTTTGATACATGTGGTTCATCGTATTGCTTGTTCTAATTCATTATGACTCGGGATATTAGTTTTCTGAAAGATGAAATGCCTCTTATCTCTCAAGGCTGGCATATTAAGTATTTACAATATTTTAGGATTCTTTGATTTCGAGTTCAAAAGAAAATATATTATTTAGACTTATGCATTTAAAATATTTTCAAATTTTAGTCAAATTCAGATGTATTTTTAGATGAAGTGATACATTTGTTGTTGTAGTTCATAAACAGACAATGGGTTTTAATGAGTTCTTCTGGAACGTTAGTTGTTAAAAGTGGTCGTAATTGCTAAGTTGAAACATGACATGAAAACTTTTATTGCGGCAGGAGATTGGCCACACCAGTAGCAGTAGTAGAGGAAGGGGTAGAGGTAGGGGCAGAGGTCGTGAGCGAGGTAGTCAAACAGTAGAGAGAGATATATCTGTACACTATGAGAAGTTTGAAGATGATCCGGACATTTCAGATTACCAGGAGAAGAACAATCCAAGCAGACCAAGCCTTGAAAGATCATACAGTGCTGAAGAACCAAAGAGTAGTATTCCAGCTGGCAATATAGAATTGCCAATTAGAAACTTTGATCTTAATGTAGACTTACAAGTGAACAGCAACTCAACAGCTATGCCAGCTCCTGCTCCTTGGTTAACAACAGAAATTACGCCTAAAGTAAAGCATGAAGAATACCCTGGCTGGTCACTTTTTGACATTAAAAAGATGGCTGTTGATCCCCACCAACTTGCTAGCTTAAATAGGAGGACTGATGAGGATGAGGAAGGTTATGATGAAAAAGGATGAGTAGGAAATGCATCTGTGTAAAGTTGTTATTTTTGAAAAGTCTTTTCTAGTTTTAGGATGGAGTAGATGTGAAGATAGTACACTAAAACTGGTGGTAGGGAGCATAGGAAAGCAGAAATGAATACTTGAATCATTTTTATTTCCAAAATGTTTGAATATTCATATATTATCCGCTAACAAAGTTTCTAGGTTTAGGATGGAGTAGATGTGAAGATAGTACACTGAAACTGGTGGTAGGGAACATAGGAAAGCAGAAATGAATACTTGAATCATTTTTGTTTCCAAAATGTTTGAATACTCATATATTATCCACTAACAAAGTTTCAGAACATTTTTCTATTCCAAGTGGTGTTAGATCTTCCTAAATATAATTTTCTTCTTAGTTTTTATTTGTGAAATATTTTGAAAAATCATTTCATTGAGTTTTGTTTCGGTACAGGACCAGAAACGTCATTGTGATAGGAACTCACTTCTACCACTCAAACAACAAGAAGACAATTCAAACAGTAAACATAGAAAATAGCAAATACCCAGAAAGAGTAACAAAAGCTTGCTGAACTTCGAGGGCCAGGTCCCCCCTAATCTTCCTCTTCACTTTTCTGAATATCCCTCTCAATTCTCTCCAGTCTCTTCTCTTATTCTCCTGATGTCTCTCTCCATAACAGAATCCCTCATTTACCCATTCCCCTATTGCCGTATGTCACGCTCAAAGGACTTTCCTGCCAGCTACCCCACAATCCTCTACTTCACTCCCTTGTGTCTCCTACACCACCATATTTTGAGGTCCCATCATATTGTAATATTAAATGTTCAATGCAATGAAATCTGAGCTTTCACATTCATAATTTATGTTATAAAAAAGAATAAAAAGATAGATGGAATGGTAAGTAGTGGAAGGTCAGTGACTAAACTTGATCTTGAATGGGATGAACAGGTGGAGGGAATTCATTGAAAAGGCTTTTCAAAACTAACAATCTTGGCTTCTCAATCAACATTTTGGTCCTCTGTTCTCCCAATCCAGAAATAACTTGATTTCGTAATTAGCTGGTACAAGTCTTTGTCATGCATTTTAAAGTGGCATTGATTCATTGGAAAGTTTTGATTGACCAATAAATAGTAAACATCACACATATATCTTCTCTTTATATTAAGTCCCTTCTTGCCCTGCTTGAAACTTGAGTCCAGCAGAGTGTTATTCAGATGGATTCAAAACTATTGAAGGCTGCGAGAGAGGGAGATGTAGTGGCATTGGATTCATTACTTGAGGAAGATCCGCTGATCCTTGAAAAAGTTGCCTTATCACCAACTGCAGAGACTCCATTGCATATTGCTTCACTAGCTGGAAAAACTGTGTTTGTGAAGAAGATACTAAGCCTGAAGCCTTCCTTTGCATGGGAGCTGAACCCATCTGGGTTTAGTCCTTTACACATAGCTTCTGCAAATGGGTATATTGAGGTTGTGAAAGAGCTCTTGAAACTTGGCCCTCAACTTTGTCTAATCAAAGACAAAGCTGGTCGAAATCCTCTTCACTTTGCAGCCATGAAAGGTAGAGTTCATGTGATTGCAGAGTTGGTTTCTTGCTGTCCAAATTGTGTAAAAGAAGTTACAACAAAGGGAGAGACTCCTCTTCATTTGGCTGTAAAGAATAAACAGTTTGAAGCAGTTAAGATGTTGTTGGAAAAGGTGAAGGAGGATGATGAAAATGATAACGGTGAATTGATAAACGCCAAGGATAATGAAGGTAATACCATCTTCCAGCTGGCTATGGCTACTGAACAACTTCAGGTAAGCTTAATCTTATGCTTTACACTATTAAGGGTGATTTTTCGATGGGTTTGAACATATATAGCCAAGTTAGTAATCTTAATTTCCCAAAATGTGAAAGTTTTATTTAAAGAACAAATCTAGCATAAAAGCAAATGATTTACTAGTTATACCGTCAATGAAACAACAAAAGATAATGTTCTCTAACATATAACACTGGAGTATACTGAATCATAATATACTTGATAGTCTAGCATTTGCCAGTATAATTTAATGGTTTTATATAAGCCAACTATTTTTTCCATTGTTATTAATCATTGAGGGAATTGGATGAACTCACATAATTTTAACATCTTAGGAATCAGAATTAATGATAGCGATGTATAGGAGAAATACTGTTTTTCGATTGATTAAAAGAGACAGGAGAAATCTAGAATGCTCAACCAGTAAGTCAAAGAACCAACTAACAATCTCAAAAGAGTTCAACAAGCTGCCCACAAATCAAAATTAGTTGTCATTAAAAGATGGACCTCCACAGGACAGTTTCTTCATATTCAACATCTTCCATCTTTTGCAACTTATAAATAGAATATTAGTAGTAAATGATATTGACAGATAGCTATTGATACTAGTTTTTTTATTTTTAGATGAAAATTGCCTCACCTTAAAAACAGTTCTATAACTAAAAAAGTTTGATATTATTGATAAACTTGAGCATGGGCAGGTAATAGAACTGCTGAGAAATGAAAGCAAGGTTGAGCAAGACATGGATATAAAAGAAGTTGGTTCAGCTTCAGGACACCAATTTGATGATGGAGCTGAGGCCAAGACTCAAGAAACTCAAACTGCAAGTTCTGATTCAAAGCAAAACATTTGGGAAGAGGTTCAGGAAATGGTATTAGTTGTAGCCAGTTTGATAGCAACAGTAACTTACCAAGCAGGGCTCTCGCCTCCCTCCACCATCTGGAAACAAGATATGAAATTGGATTCTAAATGCATCTTTCATCACCATTACCATCCATTATCATATTCATGCCCAGATCTCAGTTACTTTCTTTTCATGTCTTTTAACACAGCTGGCTTCTTCGCCTCTATCTTCCTCATTTTCTTCTTCAGAAGCCCTTCTTCTGTTCAAGTCCTGTTGCCAATAGCCCTTATCTCCATGATGATAACTTACGTTACTCTGTCTGTGAAAATGTCTCCAAGTGGTCTCACTTTGCTCATTATATACCTCGCCACAATTGCCATTTTTGTCTACTGCGTTTTGGCTGTTGAATTTGTCAAGAAAATACTTCACAGCATGTTTGGTTTTGCAGCAGAAAAAGTCCGTGGCATGGCGAAAGCACTTGTAAAGAAAAGGAAACCAGCTTCAGCTTCTGCAGATGCCTTAAAATTGGATGCTTGATTCTGAGTTTTCTATCTGCTTATCAATTAATGTAAATGATACAAATAATTCTAGTGCGTGTGTGTGTATCTGCATAAGTATATTCCATGTTGTGAGTGAATAAGTTCAGTTGTAAGCCGAAAGCCCTTTATATACATCATTAAAAGAAGATAACTTGGAAAAGAAATTGTCTACTACTTGATTGCACAAGGGAAGGAAGGCTTGATTATCAAGTTCCATCCTTTTAATGCCAGAAATGAAAGCAAAGCACACATCGACAGTATTACTAATACATGCTCCAAATATCAGAGGCTGTGACTCTCTGATTACAGAATTCTTTAGAATCTCATTACGCTCAGAAATGAACATCCAGCCCAAAATTGAAAAAGAAGAAAAAAAAATCATAAAAATGAACAATTTTCAGGATGCCCAGTCAAAGAGTATTCTAAACTCTTTTATAAAATTAGTGATCATACTGATTCCTGCTTAAGAAGGCTTTTGTTTTATTATAGCTAAATCCCACTCTCAGCAGTCTTTGTTTTATTACCTGTACTGTAGTGCTTGATACTCTAATGACTTGCATAAAGAAAGTTCAAAGAATGATGAAAGAACATTCAGCCTAGAAAATAAATTTAACTAGATAGGGATAAAATTTGCCCATATAATACAGTAAATTTATTTTCACATAATTAGCACATTCGGCCTAGAAAGCAGAGCGATTAGATAGGGATAAAATTTGCACATATAATAGAATACAGTAAATTTATTTTCACATATTTAGCACGCTTGTTCATGAAGGCCTCATTAGACTAATGCATCACTTTGCACCATTCTAGAAGAGCTTCACGGAGTTGTACCATTTATAAGATAAGAAGAATCTACACACGTTTATTGCAAGGTTCAAAACAAATTCATAAGTCAGTTACATTTATTTCATACTGAATATAGCTTCAATATCCTGATATTTTTCTTTCCAAGTTTGATATACTGCAAGTCAGTCACCTGAAATTAAAAGGAAGCCATCATCAATGCCAATACTCAAGCTTGGCCAGTTAGAATTGTATGCATATCAAGTCTAATTGATTAAAATTTAATTAATACTTTCTAATATTTTATTTATAGTAATAATTAGATAATCTTACTAAATATATTGAAATAAAAATACCATACCACATATATACATACAAAAGACCAATCAAAAAGATTTCAAGTTCATGATACAAATATATTAACTTATCACAAAATGGCGTTTCAGATTCTGATATTGTCTAAAGAATATATGCTGCAAAGGTCCCAGCAAAACAAGCCAAAAAAGAAGAGTAGACCATTTCTTCTAACATCATTACATGCAGTGAATGGCAGTTTTGTAATAACAAAACTGTTAAAGATAATTTTTTTTTCACTTACCATTTAATTTTGAAGGTAGAAACAAATATGGGACTTAATTTTCTTTAGTTCAAAAATTGAGGTAAATCAGAGTCCAAAATCTTTTAGGTTCTAAGAACAGTAAAATCTAATGTTGATTCTGTAGTGCAGGAAAAGCAAAAGGGTCTCACCCCAGTGCTTAAGACATCCAAATGGATGACTTCACAATGCCATATTATAGATAAATAAGCTAGATTTTAAAAGCCATATCAACAAATAGATCCGCTCAGTCAAATGACAAGTCATAAGGTGTAAAATTGACAATGATGGCACAGTAGAGAAAGGTTAACAATTTGGTGGTTTTACACTCACTATGACCAGAAAAACAATAGGTTCAAGTATAAGTAATGCTAAATTTACTGAATTTCCCTCAGATCCAAACATCTAGCCAAAGTAAATTGACTTTCTAGTTACAATATGCATATTGGGATCCTTCTAATTGCAGACCTGTTCTAACCAATCTCAAACTCAGTATCATGGAGGGGCATGCCTCCTTCAACTATATGCAGGACACTGAAATTATACTTTATTTCAAAGAACATTTAGGCAATTGTTAGAAAGGAAAAAAATAAAAAATAAAAAGAGCTAAAAGAATTGCAACAAATAGGTAACGAGGGAACAGAAAGTCAATGTCTATTTACAGCAACTAAATGTTGGTAATGAAGGAGAAAAAGACCAGATGAAACACAAACGATCTGTGGTCATATATGAACCCCAACTAGAAAAGGGGAAAGCGAAGGGAGCTCAAAAAAGAGTATAAGTGAAATGCGATATTATCAGAAAAAAGTGTATTGATATCTGAGTAGTCTCGTTTTCACCCGACTGATAGTGAATGACATATAATTATGATGTACAGGGCCATTTACAAGTTTTGAAAAGAAATTCTGCATATGATGCAAAATTCTTATGTCTTCCATTTACAAAGGTTAGTAAGTGACTACATATGGCTCTGCATATAAAAGCTAATTAATTTTTTTGTGTCTCTCAAATACAGGCATATAATAACAAAATCACATACCCTCAATTGTACGACCATATGTTTAACATTCATTAATTAAAAAAAAAAATTACAATATAAAATAAGTAAATCCTTTAGCAGCCCCTTAAAAGTTGTCAATTTTTTTGTTTTCTTCCATGATTAAATTCCTTTTTAACAGATAAAAACAAATACAAATAGAAGAAGAAAAAATACCAAACTAAGCAGAAGTATCATCAAGAAGCTTAAACTCCTGCAACTCCTTGAATTGCAACCAAGGCTTCTCCCACACTTTTGCTTCATAAACATTCTTCTTATCTCCCTCACTCGCCTCCAGAGTTATATAATACATAGTACCAGAAACCACCTGCTGTTTCGCTTTCACGACTTTCCCAAACTGCAGCATCGTATTCTGCAACCAAACAAAAACAGAAAAGAAAAAAGAAAAGGTATAAATACAAAATCAATTCAATTTCAAAAATTGAGAAAATCAAAACAATTGAATTGAATTAAAAGGAAGACCTGTTTCTTGTTATGTTCATCAACGGCGAAACGCGCGAGGCCATCGATCTCAATGCTGTTAGCAGTTCCATCAACCTCACGAACTCCACCAAGCGTTGCCATTTCTTTCTCGGATCAAAATAACTATTTTTCTTCTTTCTTCCTTTCTTTGTTTTATGAGTCTTCTTCCTGCCACTATATAAATGGCTAATCATTATTATTTAATTAATTAATCAATTATGTTTTTGCACTCAACGCGTGGCTAGAGACATTTCCTTGGTCAACTTTGCCAACTGTACACACACAAATATAATAATTAGCCACATTCGGCTAGAAGCAGAGCGAAGAAAGTTCAAAGAATGATGAAAGAACATTCAGCCTAGAAAATAAATTTAACTAGATAGGGATAAAATTTGCACATATAATAGAATACAGTAAATTTATTTTCACATATTTAGCACGCTTGTTCATGAAGGCCTCATTAGACTAATGCATCACTTTGCACCATTCTAGAAGAGCTTCACGGAGTTGTACCATTTATAAGATAAGAAGAATCTACACACGTTTATTGCAAGGTTCAAACCAAATTCATAAGTCAGTTACATTTATTTCATACTGAATATAGCTTCAATATCCTGATATTTTTCTTTCCAAGTTTGATATACTGCAAGTCAGTCACCTGAAATTAAAAGGAAGCCATCATCAATGCCAATACTCAAGCTTGGCCAGTAAGAATTGTATGCATATCAAGTCTAATTGATTAAAATTTAATTAATACTTTCTAATATTTTATTTATAGTAATAATTAGATAATCTTACTAAATTTATTGAAATAAAAATACCATACCACATATATACATACAAAAGACCAATCAAAAAGATTTCAAGTTCATGATACAAATATATTAACTTATCACAAAATGGTGTTTCAGATTCTGATATTGTCTAAAGAATATATGCTGCAAAGGTCCCAGCAAAACAAGCCAAAAAAGAAGAGTAGACCATTTCTTCTAACATCATTACATGCAGTGAATGGCAGTTTTGTAATAACAAAACTGTTAAAGATAATTATTTTTTCACTTACCATTTAATTTTGAATGTAGAAACAAATATGGGACTTAATTTTCTTTAGTTCAAAAATTGAGGTAAATCAGAGTCCAAAATCTTTTAGGTTCTAAGAACAGTAAAATCTAATGTTGATTCTGTAGTGCAGGAAAAGCAAAAGGGTCTCACCCCAGTGCTTAAGACATCCAAATGGATGACTTCACAATGCCATATTATAGATAAATAAGCTAGATTTTAAAAGCCATATCAACAAATAGATCCGCTCAGTCAAATGACAAGTCATAAGGTGTAAAATTGACAATGATGGCACAGTAGAGAAAGGTTAACAATTTGGTGGTTTTACACTCACTATGACCAGAAAAACAATAGGTTCAAGTATAAGTAATGCTAAATTTACTGAATTTCCCTCAGATCAAAACATCTAGCCAAAGTAAATTGACTTTCTAGTTACAATATGCATATTGGGATCCTTCTAATTGCAGACCTGTTCTAACCAATCTCAAACTCAGTATCATGAAGGGGCATGCCTCCTTCAACTATGTGCAGGACACTGAAATTATACTTTATTTCAAAGAACATTTAGGCAATTGTTAGAAAGGAAAAAAATAAAAAATAAAAAGAGCTAAAAGAATTGCAACAAATAGGTAACGAGGGAACAGAAAGTCAATGTCTATTTACAGCAACTAAATGTTGGTAATGAAGGAGAAAAAGACCAGATGAAACACAAACGATCTGTGGTCATATATGAACCCCAACTAGAAAAGGGGAAAGCGAAGGGAGCTCAAAAAAGAGTATAAGTGAAATGCGATATTATCAGAAAAAAGTGTATTGATATCTGAGTAGTCTCGTTTTCACCCGACTGATAGTGAATGACATATAATTATGATGTACAGGGCCATTTACAAGTTTTGAAAAGAAATTCTGCATATGATGCAAAATTCTTATGTCTTCCATTCACAAAGGTTAGTAAGTGACTACATATGGCTCTGCATATAAAAGCTAATTAATTTTTTTGTGTCTCTCAAATACAGGCATATAATAACAAAATCACATACCCTCAATTGTACGAGTAGATGTTTAACATTCATTAATTAAAAAAAAAAAAATTACAATATAAAATAAGTAAATCCTTTAGCAGCCCCTTAAAAGTCGTCAATTTTTTTGTTTTCTTCCATGATTAAATTCCTTTTTAACAGATAAAAACAAATACAAATAGAAGAAGAAAAAATACCAAACTAAGCAGAAGTATCATCAAGAAGCTTAAACTCCTGCAACTCCTTGAATTGCAACCAAGGCTTCTCCCACACTTTTGCTTCATAAACATTCTTCTTATCTCCCTCACTCGCCTCCAGAGTTATATAATACATAGTACCAGAAACCACCTGCTGTTTCGCTTTCACGACTTTCCCAAACTGCAGCATCGTATTCTGCAACCAAACAAAAACAGAAAAGAAAAAAGAAAAGGTATAAATACAAAATCAATTCAATTGAGAAAATTGAGAAAATCAAAACAATTGAATTGAATTGAAAGGAAGACCTGTTTCTTGTTATGTTCATCAACGGCGAAACGCGCAAGGCCATCGATCTCAATGCTGTTAGCAGTTCCATCAACCTCACGAACTCCACCAAGCGTTGCCATTTCTTTCTCGGATCAAAATAACTATTTTTCTTCTTTCTTCCTTTGTTTTATGAGTCTCTTCTTCCTGCTACTATATAAATGGCTAATCATTATTATTTAATTAATTAATCAATTATGTTTTTGCACTCAACGCGTGGCTAGAGACATTTCCTTGGTCAACTTTGCCAACTGTACACACACAAATATCGCTAATACTCCGCTATATGATTTATTTAAAAAAGAGTAATTTAGGTTTATACTACTTTTTTCCACCATTTTTATTATACCATAATATGATATATATCACAATTACATAAATTTTATTATAATATTAAAATTTTTAAATAATTAAAATTTTATATGATTGTGATATATGCCACATCATGATATAATAAATATAGTATAAAAAAGTAGTGTAAATATAGTATTATTTGTTTTCAAATTAGATATTTCATGTTATTTATTTGTTTATCAGATAAATATAAAAATATTTATTTATTATAATTTTTTTTTTCATCCATTGTTATTAATTTATTATGATAGGCGGAATGTTTTAAATACTAACATTTGTAAATTAGTAAAGAAAATATATCAGAAAAATTTATTAAATGTCTCCGAATTTAATTGTTTTAACTTTAATTTGGAATAAGTAGCGAAAATATAAATACAAATTTAGTATTTTATATTTTAAGAAAACCTGGGCCTTTTTTTTGTGTGCAGCCACTAGTTTTTGAAATGCGACTCCAACACTATGTATTTGGTCTTTTTGTTGTGAGCATTTATTGGCTTTAGAAATAAGACCCGAATCTTTATTTTTTAAAAACAGTTAAGTTATTCTGTTTACGTTTAAAGGAAATAATGTTTTTATTATTTACCTAAATTTAATTAATTTAACATCCAAAATGGTCACCAATATTAAGAGATTAGTACATCTTTTGGGGGTTAAATTTATGAAATTATTGATAAATTTAAAGGTTAAATTGATAATATTTCCAAAACTAGTCAACACTGTACTCACTACAAAAAAAGCTAAAGACAACACACAAGGTTAGGGTCTTCTTTTTTAAACCAATGGGTGCTTTTTGCAAAAAGACTAAACACATAGGATTAGGGTTGCATTCCTGAAACCAATAGATGTTCGCTGACAAAGGTCAAATACACAAGGTTAGGATGCATTTTTTAAACTGGGGGGTGTTTACTACAAAAAAGGCCAAACGCATAGAGTTTAGTTTAAAATAAAAAACTTTTTTTTTTCTTTAATGAATAGATTGTTTTCCTATAAAATATATTTAAGTTAATATTTTATTTAAAGATAAATTTATAAATGCAAATATTACTATACTGGAATAGAAATATATAACAACAAACTCGGTTTTTCTTTTTTGGGATTTTGTATAAATTATTAGGTAAGTTTTAAAAAAAAAAAATGTTATCATATGTTATCCATTATGGACGGTCGTCCATTAATTTTGGACAGGCGTCCACAAATAATGGACGCCCGCCCTTCACCCAAATATGAAAAAAAAAAAAAATTTTCCATGGGGACCCCGTCCACAATTGTGGACGGCCGTCCTTAATTTTGGACGGGCGTCCATAATTTTGGACACTCGTCCAAAATTAATTCTTAAAAAATATTTTTTAAACACTGGACGGTTGTCCCTAACTTATGGACGGCCATCCTTAATTGTGGACGGTGTCCATACTGAATGACCCCCGTCCATTCATTATGGACGGCCGTCCAAATGTTATTAAATTTAAAAAAAATTTTGCGTTTTAAATTATTTTTTTGTTTTTTGCTTCTCCATACGCTTCTCCAATTACAAGAGCTAAAAACGAAAGAAAACCGGCGCCAAAATTCGTCGTCCCTTCTGCTCATCGTCCCTTCGCTCACGTTGCCGTTTGTTTCGTCTCAGCGTCTGCATTCCCAGCCATTTCTTCCCACAACAAACGTTTTCTCCTCATTTTCCAGGTACCATGTGAATAATGAAAGCTATCATCTATTCATTTCATCAACTTCATTTCATCAAACCATAGCTAATTTTACAGTCGAAAGAGAGATACAGGAAAGGGAGATTACAGAGATGTTTCAAAGGAGATTAGAGAGATTTGTGCAGGTTAATAACGATTTTATATATTATACATTTATTTAGTTTTTTATCGTGAACATTTTATATAACTTTATCATTTATTTGTTTTGTATTATATTTTGGATTGATATATGTTAAAATAGAAAAACACTGATACGAAAAATTGTTGTTGATTGTTATGAATCAGATTAAAGAATATGGAAGAGTCCAGTTTGCCTCAGAATATGGAGAGTCAGTTTGCCTCAGAATATAGAAGAGTCCAGTTTGCCTCAGAATATGGAAGAGTCCAATTTGCCTCATTTCAATGATATTGAGGTAAATTATTGATCGTTTGTTTATTTTATTTGATGTGTTGTATAGTACATTCTAATTTTATGTATTATAAAACTATTAAATCAGAAAATGAACGTGATGAATTAGAAGATATGAGATTGAGAGGAAGAATAGAGCCTCTATTGGAATATGTTTGATTCAGTTGATAGTCTGTGAAGTATTACAAACGGTATGGTAACAAATAGGATTGAAGCCATGATACGTACTCAAAGAAATGCGAAGATGGAGAGATGAGATATGTGACAGTGCATGTTCTTATTCTGGAAAGGAGAGATGTAAGTCCAGAAATACCTTGAAAAACAACCTTTTGCCAAAACAGATTGTAAGAGTCGGATTAGTACAGCTTTGAATGGTGAATGCAAATGGAATTAAATCAGTTGCTTGAACATAACCATGATCTTACAAGTCCGACAAAAAAAGATATTTCAAGGTTAACCGAACGATACACCTTATGTGAAAAGGCGACTGAAGTTAATGATGTGGCTGGGATTAGACCGTGTAAGAATTTTCAGTCATGTTTAGTTGAGGCGGAGGTGTAGAGAATTTGACGTTTCTAGAAAAAGATTGTAGGAACTACATTGAAAAAGTGAGAAGTTACGACTTGGAGTTGGAGATGCTTCCGCAATACTTGATATTTTAGGAAAATGCAAAAGGAGAATTCAAATTTCTGGTACATGATTGATGTAATGAGAGAGTCAATTACAGAAGTGTTATGGTTGATGCTAGATGTAGGGTGCTATAAAGAATTCGGTGATGCTTCCGCAGTACTTGGTATTTTAGGAAAATGCAAAAGGAGATTCAAATTTCTGGTACATGATTGATGTAGATAAAGAGTTGATTACAAATGTGTTATGGGTTGATGCTAGATGTAGGGGTGCATATAAGAATTCGGTGTGTTATCACCTTCACACAACGTATTTGACGAAGAAGTATGACATGCCATTTGCTGCTTTTGTGGGGGTTGATCATCATGGACATCAACGTTGTTAGGTTGTGGGTTAATTCTCATGAGGACACTGAGACATTTGTATGGCATTTCGTTCTAGCTTGAATGCATGATGTCGCTCCTAATGGAATAATCACTGATCAAGATAGGCCATGCAAATGCAATTAAGATTATTTCCCTGTACAAGACCATAAGTGGTGTTTTATGGCATATAATGAAAACTGCCTGAAAAGTTAAGGGGTATAAGGAATATGAAACTATCAAGTTTAATTTGCAAAATGTTGTGTGATTCCTTTCGCGTGAAGAGTTTGAAGAGCGGTGGAACCAATTTGTTGATGTGCACACCTTCACGATAATGCATGTATGTGAGTGTACAAGATAGAGTAGATGGGTGCCTGCATTTCTTAAAGATACTTTCTGGGCAGGTATGTCTACCCCCAACGTGTGAAAGTATGCATGCATTTTTTTATAGGTATGTCAATTCCAAAACCACTTTGAACATTTGGAACAATATTAATGCTTGTGAGCTAAAGTGGAAAAAGAAAGGGAGGCTAATTTTAGATCTTTTAAATCTTGGATACCATGCACAACTAATTACCCTATTGAGAAACAATTTCAATGTGCATACACAACTGCAAAGTTTAAAGAGCTTCAAGATGAGATTGCCGGGAAGATTTATTGTGAGTTATCTTTTCTGAAAAATGTATTCATGCGAGGATTTCAGTTTGGGAAGATGTTTGTTTGGAGATAATAGTCCCCGTGTTCCTCATGTAGTGTACTTGATGAAATTCTTGTGATATTCGTTGTACTTGTCATTTGTTTGAGTTCAGGGGATTTTATGTAGACATGCCATTATGGTGTTGATTCATAAAAGGGTTTCACACTTCCGGAAAAGTACATTTTACGGCGTTGGAGGAAGAATGTGAACAGATGTCATACGAAATTAAGGTTAGTTATAATAGGTGGAGCACCAACATTGAAGGACAACGTTTTGATAAGTTGTGTAATTAATGCTGACAGTAGCGGATCTGGCATCAAACAATGAGGAGATATAATAATGATGACGGAGTTTATGATTGACACGAGGAAACAGTTGGAGCAAAAGGAAAGTGAGGAGGGGTTGGTACAACAGTGAACATCTCTTCTAGAACCGTTTGACTAGTCAAGATGGGGACAGTCCTCCTAAAGAGGGGAATACCCTAATCATTAGTCCACACAGCTCGTAGCAAAGGTCGTCCTCCATGGAAGAAACAGTCGAAGATTGAAGAAATTGTACTAGGGTTAAAAAGAAAAATTACAAAAACAAAGAATTGGTATGACTTTACATTATTTCAGTAATTTTTTTGAAACATTATTTACTTATTGAAGTTTAGTAATATCGACTTGATTATTAATGTGTTATGATACTTTTTAGGAAAAGATCATCGGTACAGCGACAACAGGAACAGTTTCTTTCAAGTACTTCCGTGGCCGATGGGGAAACTCAAGTGTGTCAAATGATGTTGTTACTACACAAGTATGTTTTATATCTTGTATAACTATAATTGCCTTAAGTTTTTCATACCGTGTGCTAAATTGGTTGTTAAATAATGACAGATGTCCACTGGTCCGGTTCCAAATCTCATAGGACAAGTAGTTTCTATACTGGACAGGAGTTTGTAAATGATGAACATTCTCGTTGGGAGATGTTTGATATTTTTGCCAAGTTGAAGCATATAGATTGTA